GGGCATCCACTCCCCGTCAGGGATGGGTAATCCCCGAATTTTCCTCGCTCCAAGACAATTTCTTAAAAGTTATTTATTTTGTGGATAATTTACACATACTATACAAATTTGGGGGTATTTTAGGAATTGGATTATAATACTTTGGGGGTACTTCAAAAATGGAATTATGGGATTCTAGGATTTTAACAATTTAGGGAAAACTTAGAGATATTTTAAATATCAATATTAAACCTAGAGATATTTTACTAATTTTATCTTCAGGTTCGGGGAATTATATACAAAACCTGTCCCCGTTTAGGGTCGAGGAAAATCTGCCATGTTTGGGGCGGGGCCCTAGTTTTACAGGGGAAATTTCCATCCCTATATATGTAATAGTATCGAGCTAGGATTGGGCCCGGGCCAGGATTTTTTGAGAAAGCCTGAGCCGGAGCCCGCAGGCCTGAAGTTTTGTCCAAGCCCAAAAAATAACAGGTTAGGCTGGAGCCCAGGTCAGGCTTATTTGAGAAAGCTTGAGCCTAGCCCAAAATATGACTGGGCTTGGTATTTAAAGCCCGAGCCCGCGGACTTGAAGTTTTGTCCAAGCCCAAAAAATAATAGGTCAAGCTGTTGGGCTACCTGGCCCATGAACAGGTCTACTCAGAACCGATAATTGTGTCATTCTGGATAAGGATGTTCTACCATGTAGGTCAAAAGATCTGTACCCCGGAAGTCTACTTATTATTCAAGTTTGCCTAGGTCGGAGGGGTCATGCCAACCTCTGAGGTCACCAGCTTATCTTCTCAAAATGATATCTACCGCCTTGTCAAGGAGCGACCTGCTAGCCTCTCTTAGATCAGGATGTAAGCCAGGCTGGTTAGTTTGGGTCATCTCGGCTTCACCTAACTTGTCTCACGTGGTGCCATGGTATCACCAAACGGTTCGGATTCACCATGTGTTTCCTTGTGATTGATCAGAAAAATTACTCCTCTTCAGTATCAAAGCCAAAGATTCAAGGCCTTTCAAATTGTTCTCATGTTTTTGGTGGGTGGTCGTCATCTTAGCCACTCATCAAGTCTGCCTTCTTGTTCAATCTAGTTTCCCATTCATATTTATGATCTATTCTAGGTCCAACATTCAGTTTTACTTTTTTTTATACACAATGAAACATCCATTAAAACTAGCCAGCAAACAAAACAAAGGAAAGACTCACGAGAGGTTAGCCTGAATCAGAGCTAACAAGGGATTGAATCCAAGCATGGCAGTCAAAGATGAATAGACCTTGATCCTGGAAACATCTCTGAGCCAAAGTATGAGCACTGGAATTACAACTCCTGTTTACAAATGAAAAGGAAATAGAAAAATGACTCAGACACAGTCAAAATATCCTTTAGCAAGGTTTTTACAGTAGCTAGAACCTCTGAGAACCCTTTTTGAATGGCTTTCACAATCTCCTGGCAGTCAGATTTAAGCACACAAAAAGAGAGGCCTGCCACCTTTGCCAAGTCTAGGCCTTGCCTAACCGCAATAGCTTCAACCTGAAGAGCTGAAGCCACAAAAATAGGTCCATAGCAGGCTGCCACACAAGCACCATTGTGATCTCTGGTCACAACACCAAAACTTCCTGAACTAGGATGTTTGAAACCTCCATCCACATTTATCTTCCAGAGCAAATAGGTTGTGTTTTGGAGAAGAAATGTTGAGTTTTCTTTTGAAACTTTACAGAATTGGACCCATCCAGCAAACCAGTCAGTGAAGTTTATAGTTGGAGGATAAACCTCCATTCTTGCATTGAAACAACTTCCAAACCACACCTTCCTTATCACCTCACAAGAACACAGGGCATGAAAGACAGTCTCAGATTCTTTATCACAAAGTCTGTAATTCTAGAGTTGATAATTTTCCTTTGGACCAGATTAGAGCTAACTGGGAGAGTGTTCCTACAACATTTCCAAAGGAAAGATTTTATCTTCGGTTCCACTGGTAATTTCCAAATTGCTTGCCAGAGAGTAGTTCTTGGCACAAGGTTATTCACATTGTTCTTTGAAACCTGAATTTGTTTTGCTAGAAAATAGGCCAGCTTGGCACTGAAATCACCTTTAGTGTCCAGGATCCAAGCTGAAACATCATCCCACACACCCCTAGCTAAATTGATCTTTTCAATTTGGTTAGTAATAGTCCCATTGAAGCAACCCCGGATTACTTCAGCATTCCATCTCTTATTCTCAAAATCAATAAGTTCATTGACAAACTGAGGAGTACCTGGTCCAGGATTTGGCCCCATAACCCTAAAGCCCTCCACCCCTGATAGCTAGTTATCTGTCCAAATGGAAATATCACTACATGGGTTGACTAACCAACAGGCC